TTTATCTTATCAAAAAAATCACAGGGGCCATTATCTAGGGCTTTTTTCAAGGAGTGCTCTTTGCAACATTCTCTACCTCAACTCTCCTCACCTGCAATCGACCTCAACTCACCTCTTTCCACCAGAGACCTTAGGCTCACCTCACCTCACTGGAGACTGGAACGACTGCTCAAGTTTCCAAGCCCTAGGGCTGATTAAGGTATGTTTATCATGATCTCGACACATCTCAACAACATCACTACAACTCATTCTCAGTCATCGACTTACTCTTCTAACTAATGTTCTCCGTATCGCCTACTTCTTGCCTTCCCATGGTTCACTAATCAGATCCGATTTACCAAACACGACTCCATGTGAGTTCTTCCCTTTGTGTTGTATCTGAAGAAATTAAAAAAGTTTATGATCAATGTTTATGAGAATTACTTGATTTACCTGATTGAAATCACTCTCCATAGAAAAATGATTTTAGCACAAAAAAAGTGAATTTGGAAATTTTTGCTTCAACAACCAATTGATGAGCATTTCGATTCTTCTGTGTAGAATCAGATATGAGGCAGCTTTTCATTTCAGGTGTATCGCGTTTTTAGTCTTTATTAGGTCAAATGGTTCACATTTTGGTTTGATAAGCAAAGTAGGATCTTTAGTACACAAAATGGCGAACCAACTATGAACAATTCATATAATCTTTTTGACGTAAATAATTCACGTTGTTTTTTAGGGATCTTTGAGGCTACTTACTGATATCTTGTATCCTATGTTGAAAAAAGATGGAATTGGACATGCCTCTTGATTACGCATCATTCCAACTCTCACCAAAACATTCAAGGTAACTTCAATTTTTAATACTTAATAGTACAATTTGTTTTGATGATTTTGTCTAACTGCATTTAATCCTTTTATCCACCTTTTGTGCAGATGTGAATTGATTGGTTCCAGTATTGGAAACACTGAAAAGCTTGCATCGGGTTTAGTGAAGCCAATTTTGACACATTTGAAGGTTGTGGAGGAACAAGTTGGATCCTTAGCTCAATTCATTAAGCTTGAAGTAAATAAACGTAAAAATGTGGACTTATGGTGCACAAAGGGAACACTTGAGAGGTAGTGTCGTTTCAAAATTTAAAGCTTATACGTTTGAAATTTGGATATAATCATATAATTGATAGCTTTTATCATTAGGTTTGTTCGTTTTGTAAGTACACCTAAAATTGTTGAACTAGTGATCACCTTTGATGCTGAGATGTCTCAACTAGAAGCAGCTCGTAAAATATATTTCACATGTATGTGGTTTTAATTTTTAAACTATGTATAATTGTTCATATACATATATAATTAAGGGTGTTCATTTAACTAAAGGTTTCATGTTATTTTCAGGGATCATCTGATCAACTATCGAATAACATAGGTGATGGTAGATCAAGCACAACAACTAGGGCTGATGCAATAAAGTATAGTTAAATTTTATTGAATGTGCTATCTTTTTTTGGTTTTGTTGCAGTCTGTGTTGACTGTTGAGTTGACTATTCGTTTCCTTTTTTACAGGAAGGAGCTTTTGAGGGAAATTGATGTAAGGCCGATAGCTATGAAGCAGGATTTGAATACAACTTGTGCTCGTGCCACTGCTGCTAGTTTTAACCATGACCCAGTAGCTAACCTCCAGTTGTTTGCAGAGAGATTTGGTGCCACTCGCCTAAAGTAAGAAATCTTTTCTTCCATTTTTTATCTTGTTTATTGTGTCATTTTTTATCTTTAATTGTATCTATCTTCCACTTTCTAATAACAATACTCATTCTATTCTTCTACAGGATCTTCGCAAATAAGGTGGTGTTCTTTGATTGGTTCAAGATGAAACTTCCTCAATGCAAAGACTCTCATCTTATGGTGGTGGTTTCTAGGCTAAAATCAAAGATTTTATCTATTGTAAGTTCTTATTATAAACCACGATCTTATGTTAACTTTATTAAAGGATTTTTTTCATTAATAGCTTTAAATCCTCTTTCTTCAGATGCTACAACTTTGTGAAGTCGAAATCATCTCTTTTTTTTTTTGCTGCAAGCACAACTGAAGGCTTAGTTTTAGCTAAGTATACTATCTCTGAGGTTTAAAAATGAGGTTTATTTAAGACATTATCATAATAATTATCAAATTAGTTTGCATGATGTTTATATTCGTGCAGGAATTAGGTATTAACAAGATACTAATTGTTGATTGGGATGTTTTATCCTTGTGGTGATGATAGATCATATGACATGAAGGGTGAGGGAGAAGGTGAAGGGTACAATATAAATGTTCCATGGGAGATGGAAAATGTGGTTATGCAGATTATATTGCAGCATGGGACCATATACCAATCCATGTTGCAAGAGAATTTAAACCAGATATAATTCTAGTTTCAGTAGGATTTGATGCAGGTCAGTTCTACTTCTACTAACTCTCGGTGTTCATAAAGTTATGTTTTTTGGACTATAATTTTTCATTTTTGTATTTTTAAACAGCTATTGGTGATCCTCTTGGAGGCTGTTGTAGTACACCGATCCCTGTTGTATTTTTAAACAACTATGGGAGGTTCAGAAGAGGAATTTAAAACTGTGATAGATACTAATCTGAAAGGAGTAGAAAATATGTTATGTCACTTCATTCCTCTTATGATTGAGAAAAAACAAGGGATTCTTGTTAATATGTCGTCTGGGTGGGGAAGATCTGCTGCAGCACAGGTAAAAATTGAAACCAATAAAACATTTTTTTCATATTAAGTCTTTCTGTCTGGATAAAGTGTTGTATACACAAAGTCTTTCTTTACTAGACTAAATAAACCATATGAATCATACTAATAAACCATATGAATCATACTAAATGTCAACTTTATAAATTAATATAGATAGGCATAGCTGTTTTACTTTTATTAAAGATCAGATTATTAATTTTTTTAACTTTGGTTTAAGATCCTTCTAATTTAGCTCTTCTCTCTATCCAGTTTTTGTTTTTTCTCTTCAATTTTCTTTATGTTTTTTTATGAGATCATCTCCAATGATAGTTTTTTTAAAAGCTTTTTACTATTTGAAAAAGCTTACCATTGGAGAAGAAGACTAAACACTTATTTTCCCTAACCTTTTATTTGTCTTTTAGGCTCTGTCACATTTGATATTTACATTTTCTAGCTCTTTATTTATACACCAACTATATTTAGATATTAGATTTATTTTAGGCTTTGTATTTAGTTAATTAATTTATTTAATAAACAAAATAAAAATTATGTAGTTACATAATCTTTTATCGTTTTTTCATTATAATGTTGAATAATGTTTTTTTTAAAATTTTAATAATAATTTCATGTAAGGGTTTTTTTCTCCGAAAATAATACATATGTTGGTAAAATTATAAATTGTACGAGTGGATTTAATAGAACATTTAAGATAGAGAAAAAGATAATTTGATTAACTTTTGAGAAAAGCTTTATAACAGGTTCACCATTGAAAAGGTTCTTTGATAAAAGTTTTTTGCCAAATAGAAATATAAAAACTAATAATATGACAGAAGTCAAAATACTTTTGTGTAATCGCTGAGATGGCATTATATTTCTAAGATGTTAATGGGCTTATATGCTTTCATAAATTCCAAATTCCAAAATATCGAAACCTTTAGATATGTCTGCAGGATGCAAGACTCTGATTTTTATCATTCTGTTCTGTTGAGTCACATTGACTTGTTAACCAAATCATGGGAATGGATGTGTGCAGGTTCACTGTGGGAGTGGAAGAGTGTTAACTAAACCTTTTGCTTTTTTTTGGGGGGGGGGGGAGATAGGAGGTTAGAGGCGGATTCAGGTTGGTTGGGATTTGATTGGGAGGGGGTCCATCGAGATCGGTGGGTTTAGGAAGAGTCTAGATGATGATGAGACACCTGGCAGCTATTGGTGAAACGTATGCCCAAACTGCCCTTGAAGATGCTGCTTGGAACCTGTGGCATGTAAATCCTTCTCAGGCCAGCACATCTACATCCACTTCTTCTTCAAACAATCCAAATCCTTTCACAAGTACTGTAAGACACCAAGGAGGACACACTACTCGGGGTGGGGGTGGGTCCCTTATCAGAACCATGCCAACTCCACTTGTCCCGGATGTTGACTTGTCAAACATAATCGCCATGGTTGAAACCGTTCGTGAAGTCCTTCCCCATGTCCCTGATGAATTAATATTACAGGTACCTATCCTCTCTCTCTCTCAATTCCTTTTTATTTAATTTTTTGAATTGGACATGGACATGAACATGATACGATAAAAATAAAGGCAAGGGTTAGTAGTTATTGGTCATTGGAGGGAGGTTGTGTGCTGACGTCAGCCACCCAACCACACACAGTGTCGTGTAATATTTGAGAGCTATAGTTTTTTGTATATAGGAAAAAATAAATTAGACAAAAATATTGATCAAACTATAGCCCCCCTCCCTCCACCTGATTGAGCTTTTAGGGAAAAAATGAAAAACAAATTTGTTATGTATTATTGATTGAGATTATGTATGTGACTGATTAACTAGTTTGCGTTTCTTGTTTTGTATTAATAATTAATTTAATGAAAGAGATCTATTATGTGGGACAGGGATAGGGACAATGGAGGTGGTCAAGTGAGACCATGTTGCTTTTATTGGGGTCTAGTGCTTATATTTGGGAGTTGGGACTGGATAATAAGTAGGAAAATGGTTGTTTATACCATATATCTTCAACCCATCTAGCTTCGAATGGCAGAAGTATGCTTCCAGTTATTTTATTTTCTTTTTCCAAATTCATGAATCTATATTATAAGATATGATGATTGGGATGTGATGTCAACAGAGCTGTGGAAGATTTTGATGATTGGATTAATTGGCTTACGTATAAAGGTGGAGTTGGAGTGAAAGGAGACAATAGTTGGGAATCTTGGCGGGATGAAGAACAGGCACATATCCAGAAAATCAGAGGGCGTGTACTTGAAACTATATTGTGCTTGAGGTTCTTCATATTTCAATACGAGATAGTCTACAAGCTCCAGCTCACTGAAAATCATACATTATTATTGGTACTTACAATTTTTATTTATTTCACTTTTTTTTCTATGTGAAAATATACTGACAAAAAATACATTACATGACATGATATGTTAGATGAAATTGTGATGATATACTGTCTAGCTCATAGGATCAAGGATTATCTATTAGCCTAAGGTATTATCTGCAACGAACATTGATTCTTCTAATAATTAGATTTGTATATTAGTTTTTTGACTTTTATTTGATCAGGTAACAAGAATTATCGGAGCAGGGTTTTCATTAGTCTTAAAGAATTATGAAAGGCAAGATGCAACTCTACTTATTTGGAATTTGATGTTTATCATATTTGTGTATATCTTTTTAGCTTGTATAGCATTACATTGCCGAAAATGTCCCTTAATAGCAATGTAGCAAGCTTGATGTTAACATCTTGTGTTAGAAATACAAACACATATCGAAAACCATTTTCTTTCACTGTTGCATTTAAAACCTATATTTCAGTTTCAGATATCAGGTATTAAGTTTTTTTGTTCTTTTCCATGTATATATTACATATAATCATGTTAGAATTTGGTTTATATTAGTTCCTATCAAATGGACTTAATATCATGTTTTTTATTATTGCATCATCTTAGTTGTTCCCAACAGAATGGTGTAGCTGTCTTTTCAAAAAAGATTTCATTCTCTTGTTTCAGTGAAATCTGTGTAGAAGGATTGAAGACGTTGAACTTAAGCACAAGATACAACCAACAATCAAGATTCTTATTTCAGATCAGATCACAAATTCACAATATATTTATGTGTCTTTGTTATACATATAGATAAGGAAGGTAGATCTGACTTGGGACATGGAGGCTGATGAAGGAGACAATTACACACATATTCCAGTAAGAAATAGAGTTGGATGATTATTTGATAGTTTTATAGGAATATATAACCCATGTTAGCAATGTATTATTTTTGTTTAACATTTGAATGATTATTTGTATGACATTTTATAATTTGTGCAATTTATTCTATTTTTTGTGTATGAAATTTTATTTTATATTATGTAGTGGATTGTATTTTTTGTATATGGTATTTTATTTCTATTATGATACATTAAATGAAAATTTAATTTAAAATCTATAAATAATATTCTCTTTAAACATTTAAAATTATGATACGCAAAAATGTGTGTCATCTTCATTTATGACATGGCCTTTCTTGACAGGGGCTTTCTTGATACGCATTGTGTGTCATTAACACGCGCGTCGTAAGGTTATGACACGCGAATGCGGGTCGTCTTACATTATGACAGGGCCTTCCTTGGTACGCATTGCGTGTCGTAAACGTGCGTTGTAAATGAGCGTCATAAATGCGCGTCGTCTATAGATGATGCGCAAAAGCGCGTCGTCTCTCTTTATGACAGGGCCTTCCTTGACGCGCATTTGCGCGTCGTCTGAGCCTTTTACGACGCGCAATGTGCGTCGTAAAATGCTGTTTTTCTAGTAGTGGTTATGAACTTTACGTGCATGCATGGGAGTATAAGCTTAATGGACCCAAAAATGAGGTCTAAAGGTGCATGTGGCTCTCAATGGCTACAAAGTTGGTCACTTTAGGTCATATAGTCCCCTAAGGACCCTGGATCTGGAGTCTTAACCTCCAACCATGCTTGCACTCATTATTGGTCACCAAAATGGTTCCAAAAATACCTAATTCACTCCAAAAAGGGATCTAGAACATGAATGAACAAGGTATAAGCTTATACCTCTGAGGAACTGTAGATGCTGCACAAACTCGAAATCTCTTGGTTTCCTATTGGCTCCTCAAGCTTTTCCTTCTTTCTTGTGATCACAAACCACCAAAATCACCAAAAAGGGACTTAGTTATCACAAATGACTAGAGTTTCAGTATGAGGTGTTCTGGGAGCATAAGGGACGATGGAGGCTGCATTAAGACATTTAAATAGGGTGCAATCCCTCATATTTAGGGTTTTGTCCAAACAACGCCCACTCGTCGAGTCGGTTTGCCAACTCGTCATAATTACTTGAATGAAAATACATACCATGAACCAGGTGCTACAATGATGAATCAAGGTGTCAGATTTCACATTGCGCACTATGCACTACGCGTGGGTGCACGTGATGATATTTTATAAACTATGAAAACTCCTAATTCTTGCATTTGAACTCTGTTTTCAACGACTCTTATATATCCATGTAGGTATCAACGTATACTACAACTTTCCTTTTGTTTTTTTGGCTAATACTGACTTTTGTTATTAGCCTATATTTTATAACCCTTATGATTTTATAAAAATCATAACTCTCTCTTACGGGTTTCATTTTAAGCATTCCTTGCTTCTTAAATCCTACTTTGGTTAGTACTATGTTCCGTCTTTTGGTGACTTCTAAAAAGGATTAACCATTCTCTTTGTAGTTTTCGATGTTGTAAAGTTTAGCATGCGGTAGATTTTTATTTCCTATAAAAATCATATCCTTTCTATATTGAGTTGGATCTTTACGAAGTTTATATTTTTGGGCTTGTGGTAAGATGTACATTCTACAAATGTTAACTTGCTCGTAAGATGACATGGTTTTCATGCACTAATTTTTTTGTCTAATTGTCGACATAATCAAGGGAAAAATCGAATATGTTTATTTTTATGCCTATTGATTTTAAAGATGTTCAATCAGGTGTCGTTGGTAGCGTTAGATCCTAACGGTGTTCAATGACATATTTTCTAGGTTGTCACAAAATTGTTGTTAAAGATAGACATGGAATAAAGCCTAGTGTAGTCTAGGGAAATTTAGTGTATATGATTGCTTGGACATATCCATATGTGTTCAGTTGCTTTTGTGATTTTAGGATTAGTAACTTGGGAACTATGACGTAATTCTTGGGACGAGTATGAATAGGTGTGAAAGGTAGTACAGGCTTATACTACCCAAAACACATGACTCCCACTTGGTGTGACATCCCCAAAATCTCGGCCAGAAAAGACCGATTTTCATTTATGCTTTTTAAAATAAATTCAGAGTAAATCCTTTTGATTTGAAAGAGTTGCGGAATTTGTTCCCAAAAACAAAACATGATAAAACAATGTTTACCAAAGAATTTCATAAAAGAAATGTATTTTTCATTATATAATCAAAACTCGGGGTGTCATGTTCCGATATAGACCAATAAGCATAAACGATAACATTACAAGTCATTCAACAAATATTTACATATACAGACTTGTAAACAAAACAACTTGATGGTTCATCCATCTTACGCCCTTGCGCCACTTCCTGTAATACAAATAAAACTGAGTGGGTCAGGCTTGGGAGCCTGGTGAGCATATAGGGTTTTCAACCCACAATAAATAATTAAATTAATTATTATCAACCAACAATAACCCAGTTACCCATTCCCGTTATTCTCACTTTATGTCCCTAAAATAACTAACACAAGGGACCTAATCTAAGAATATTTTCATCGGGGTGACAACACATGCTGCGGGGTTCCTCAGCAATATAAGTCAAATAAGGCAACCATGAGGGGGATGGAATACAGCGAATGAACACCCAAGTTCATTAACACCTACAGGTTATGAGCCTGCTAGCGTTCCACTGGACTATCTAGAAAAGTCCGTGGTCGTCATCTAAATTCCGCTAGATGACTGGATCAAAACAACAACGAGGCCTCTCATCTGTTTATTACACACCAACTATCTACCCATGTTCTACCCAACATATTAGTAGATAAAAACATACATTTTTATACATATTTTCAAAACCTGTATAGCATGCTTGATCAATACATTTTCCATATAACAGATGAGGCACACACACATAACACGTATTTCATATAGAAATAATCAGATCTGTAAGATAGAAGAAAGTGAATATACATTCACACACATAACAAAAAATATACACATAACACGTATCTCGTATAAAATACTTCATAGTTATACGTTAGGAGAAAGTAACAACGCATTCACACGTATAAACGACAATAAACTTAATACCTCAAACCATACTTGTATTATTATTGCGTTTATGAAAGGTAGTATACACTCACTTGATCAGAAGATGATCGCACAGCACTACATCTTGCAGAAGTCGTAATCCTCAGCAGATCTGGAAGATCTCTACGAAAATCGAACTTCTCGTGGGCAGAGCTTCGGCTCGGAAACCGCACTTCTCGGGATCTTCGGGATCTCGGGACTCGCTTCGGGACTCGGGAATATTACCGGGGCTTCGGATGGCTTCGGGGGTAAAAACGCAGAGCTTCGGCACAAAAACGAGAGGAAATTAGCAATAAACCCGGACCCTCGCATCCTATTTATAGGAGGCTGGAAGCCTCTCGTACGCGGGGCGTACAGGCTCCGAATTGCGTCACTGCATGCGTCATCCGAAGTGTCGACACTCTTCGGAGTACGCGGGGCGTACTCACTTACGCGGCGCGTAAGTTGGATCAGATCTGTGACTCGCCTTCGGATAATGCCGGATTTTGATTTAAAAATAAATACAAATTATTTATAAACTTCGGAAATTCATATCTTCTTCATACGAACTCCGTTTTCGACGTTCTTTATATCCACGGAAAGGTGAGACTACGCTCTACAACTTTCGTTTAGACTCCGTCGGCTAATTTTGATTTATTTTTATTATTTATTTTTAATAGGCCGGGACAGAAATTTCGTTATAAATTCATAACTTCTTCGTTTGACGTCCGTTCTCGCCTAACTTTTTATCGCTTTGATACTAACAACGAGATCTTCGATTCTCGTTTAGATCACTAAGGCTAAATATCTCTTTAACGTAAATTTCACTTTTTACGTTATTCAGCGTTGCCGGTTCTGTCGCGAAACTTCGACAGGTCATAACTTCCTCGTTATAACTCGGATTTCGGCATTCTTTATATCTTCGGAAACCTTGTTTCAACTACTACAACATTATCTAAAGATATCAAGTTTATTTTACACTTAAATTTTGACGCTTATTTTTATTCTTAATTAATCAAACCACATAATTAAGCAATTAAGCACAAAACACATAATACTCAAATAATACAATCTTATTATTTCAAAACGGGTTACAAAGGTTAACCTAGACCATTACATTGCTAAAAATGGCAAGCCCGGAAACACAGGCGTTACAATTCTCTCCACCTTAGAATGATTCCGTCCCCGGAATCACACATCAACAAACAAATGCGGATAGCGACCCATCATGTCACTCTCCGTCTCCCAGGTGAGATTCGGCCCATTCGTGTGTTTCCATCGGACAAGCACTAACTCGACCATCTTGCGTCGCAACTTCTTAGTCTTTCGGTCAACAATTGCCTCTGGTTCTTCAATCAACCTTTTGTTCTCATCGATTCTCAACTCCGAAAGTGGAATCATGTCGGGAACTTCCCCGTGAACTTCGTAAATAACACACATGAAAAGTGTTATGAATTCCATTCAGTTCTTCTGGTAGTTCGAGCTTGTAAGCTTGGTTCCCAATCCTCTGAAGAACTTTAAACGGTCCAATAAACCTTGGACTCAACTTTCCCCTTTTACCAAATCTTATAAGTCCCTTCCACGGCGAGACTTTAAGCAAAACCGAATCCCCAACTTCAAAAGTCATCGGTCTTCGCTTTTTGTCAGCATAGCTCTTTTGACGATCTGAGCTGCTAACATTCTTTCCCTAATTATTTTCAACTTTTCAGCAGTTTGATGAACCATCTCCGGTCCCATAAACTGCTTTTCCCCAGCCTCAAGCCAACAAGACGGCGTACGACACTTTTGTCCATACAAAGCTTGGTAAGGTGCCATCTTAATGCTCGAGTGAAAACTATTGTTATAGGAAAATTCTACCAACGGTAAATGTTCATCCCAATTACCTAGGAATTCCAAGGTACATGCTCTCAGCATATCTTCAAGTGTTTGTAT